TTATTATTATTAAAAATCTTTACACCAAAGCTACAGTATAATCAGAAGCAATTGAAAGTACCTGAATTTAACAGGTGTTTTAGGCTCTGCCTAATGCCTAATTTTCTTTTTAAGTCATCCTTTTAATACAAAGCAGAAAAGCAAACTCTCTCTTTCTATGTGAATATTCATTTGCAGAGTGTTAAAAATCCAGGGGTGGGGGGAAATCCCTGTGACTTTCAAGAGTATACAAATGGGGACGGAGTAATTTAGGAGGGTAAGATTTGACTTAAAAAGAAGAACTGAAATTTGAGACGGAGAATGTCTATTGATAGCTGCTTGGTTGGACTGCATTTTTTTTAAAAGTGAGCGTTGCTATTGTTATTGATTAGAAGTAAGTTAGTATTTATTACTCCATGGGAAAAAAAAAATCCAAAATGGTTTTCAAATCAAATTAAACCAGAATAACAATTGCCCAGGTTCATTGGATGGATAGATGACCATATAAATTGGATGCATAGACAGACAGATGATAGAAAGATGATAAAGATAGATAGATGATAGATATAGAGATGATAGATAGATAGATAGATAGATAGATAGATAGATAGATAGATAATGATAGATGATAAAGATAGATAGATAGATAGATAGATAGATAGATAGATAGATAGATAGATAGTAGGTTGACAGATATATAAAGATGATAGATGGATATGATAGATAGATGATAGATAGATATGGACAGGACAATCCTTGGCAGTCTAACATTGGGCTGCGATGTGGTTTCCTGTGCAGGATGTAAAGACTCTACAATGTCTCTTTGTAACTTTGCTCACATGCTATGCATGTGTCCAGTAAGGGCAAATACCTTTGGCAAAGCACTTCTGGTGACTCCTGCTGATGTCAGTGGCTTCTATCAACAGACCTGTCCAGATGGAAACGTTTCCTGTTCCCATTCCTGCCCAGCCCCAGTTGTTAACAGATTTTTGCTCATCTGTTACCCAGCCCAAGATGAGTCTCATGGCTTCCTTTGCAGTTTGAATTGGGTGACTGAGAGGAGCTGTGGAGGTCAGAGCCCTCCTATTATGGAAAACACTCCACCTTTGCAAGAACTAGCTAGGTAAAGAAATTTAGGGGATCAGAAATTTCAGGCTCTCTTCTTCATGGAGCCTCAGCTTCTCTCTTGAAGTTTGGTTTGGAGGTAAGTATCTCATAAGGGAAAGCCATGACTTTCAAGTTGCTCAGTCAACCATCCTTAGCAGCATTTGGTTGACAGAGAGGGCAAGGGGTTGCAAAAATCCCTGGGGCATTCTTCCCCACCAAAGTGAAACACATTGGGGTTTTATCTCACAGATAACACATTCTAAACTAGCCTCTGGGCCAAAATAACAAAATATTCAAATTAGTGTTATATTTTACAGTGTTATGAAAAATGTAAACAGCCAGCCTAGATGGGAAAACCCCATCCAAACATTTGAGGTTTAACCTCTTCAGTCAACACATCCCATCGAAAGGTCTGTTGGAGTCAAACGCCAAGGTAGTTAGAGTAAACGAGCTATATGTTCAAACCGTTCCCCGTACAAAGAAAAATTCAACCCATAATCAGTTTCTTTGGTTCTATCAGATGTTGGATGGACATCAGGAAAAAAAAGTCCTAATGGGAACGGCTGTTCCACCATGGGAGGTGCTTTAATAGAAGCTTGGATGTTCCTCTGTCAGGGATGCTGTAGAAATGAATTCCAACACTGGACAAAAGATTGGACTTCAGTGTTTCTCAACCATGATAACTTTAAGATGTGTGGACCAAGAGCTCTGCCCTCCACTCTTGTAGCTACTTTCCTTTCTTCAGA